CCGGGTTTTCCCATGCGGGGTGTATTCTCCGAATGTGTTTTCCTTTTGCAAACGCATCTGGAAATGTGGCTGCAGCAAGGGGGTTCCTCGGTACAACCGCAGCCTTACAATAGAACGGGGATATTGTTGTCGCTGGAGAAAGGGCAGCGGGGTAAGGAAGGAGGAGCGGTGCCGTTCCCGAGGGAGAGCTAGAATTTTTCACATTGGGAAACCTCCGTTCTTCTCCGTAGTCATCGCCTGTTGATTTCTTTCTGGACCATTTGACAGAAACCTACTGCCTTTTACTTGGACTTGGGATCCAGGAAAGTGACAGCCTTTTCTCCCCTGGGGCGGGGGGGGGGGGCGGTTCTGAAGCTGTGCTAGTCCTGACAGTTGGACCAGATACAATCTAATAGCTTCCTAGGGGACTTGGTTTCAAGTCCAGTATTTGGGGGACTTTACCAGTAGGGTTCTTAAATCTGTGGATGTCTGGATATGGGACCTGTCAAACTGTCAAGTGACTCCCCGCCCCCCCTCGTCTCCCATTTAATTGAGTGCATTCTCAGAGTCTTAGGAGCCCATGTTAAAGCTGACTTAATGCCTTTCTCGTTTTATGGTGAAAGGTGAAGCATGGCTTGCAAGTGATGGCACCCCAAATGCTGGCCATCCTATTGGATTCCCACCAAATTCCAATCGAGCAGCAGATTCCTCCGTTTGGGTTCGTTACGCAGAGTTGGGACACTATTCCCAAGTCAGTGTAATTTATCAGCATGGGTATCAGTGCACTTTAAAGCCTGGGGTTCTCAAGGCTTATGTAACCGCTCTGTTAATTTATAATCTTGTTACATTGCTTTCCAGATTTATAAAATCATTCCCTTCAGGAAATCTGTCTTCAACGTCTGCTTAAATATTTCTCTTGGAATTGGGTTCCCGAAGAGGAATGTACTGTACAACTGGTGTTTAAAGCATACTAATTAGACAAGTTCCTTTAAAAAAAAAGAAAAAAAAAGCATCGACTCTTTTATCCCACTGTTTAATTTCCCCGAGAAAAACAGACGACATTCCCATTTCACAGAACTAGGAATGAGAGAAGGTACATGATATTCCCAAGGTCATGTGTGGAAGCGGTGTAGTAACTGAAAATCCAGGCCACAGGGTTAACTTTTCCTAATGCTCCATCTTCCAGGCTTTCTGGGCAGAAACTGGGAGTGCCACCTTTCCCTTTTGCAAACCTATAGTTGTTTCTTTTTTAAGTTTTATGCACAAAAAAATTACTCCCACCCTATTAAATTTTTTTTTTTTTTACTATTCTGAATACGATTTCTTGCAGTGAGATCCATTCATATACAACATACGAGGACTCAGAAGTTATACTGATTTTCATTTTTCCAGAACTGCAATATGGATGGGCCTTTTATGGTTCAAATATAATCCCATCATCCTAAAACGGAGGCTTTTAAATGTCCTTATTAAAATGGAAGGACGTTCACATTTTTACTCGGCGCAGGAAATACTATTTGTCTGAAGTTTACTGCGGGTGTTTCATATGAAAGTGAAACTGAATAGAAAATAAGAGGTGTTTGTTTATTTCTGTCGATACCCAGCAGCCATGGGTCTACGCTTTGGTATAAATAAGGCATGATTTCTTCGCTGTAGCAGCTTGTCTGAGCCTACACTGCTTAGGAAGAAAAGGGTACAAGTGAACTTTCCACACGGTCAGAATTATAGAAATTAAAAACATAGGTAAGGAACTCCTAAAGACTTGATTTAACTCTACGCCAGCTCTGTTTGGCTTAGCAACCGAAAGTCAGAGTTTTAGCCAACATGCTTTTCTAGGGCAACTATTATTGAGAATTTAGGTACTTCCCAGCCTGCACATATGTGCAGGTCAAGTCTTAGAGCAATTTAGGTGGATATGTTTACTGGATTCTAGCAGTTTTGAATGTAAACTTAACCTATGATCATTTATTCATGGAGCCCTTGTGTGTGTCTATTTCTGGGGCACCAGGTTAGAGGGTAGCAATAGCTCACAGGCTGTCGGGGACACCACGGTGAACAGTAGGGTCTGGTGAATGCCTGGGTGAGGCTTAGGCAAATCCCTCACAAGCACAGAGATGGGGGACAAGGAATCTGACCTGGGGAGGCTTCACAGAGGGGGTGATGGCTGAGGTGCTCTTCGAGGACAGGTAGAGATCTCAGGTGGAGGAAAGGGGAAAGGGCCCTCTGAGTTCAGGGAGGCTGAGGAGTCCAGGCCAAGTGGTGGAGGGAGGACTTGGATCCAAGTGGGTGAAAGGGAGTTGAGGTAGAGACAGTGCAGCTGTTCTTTTTTTTTTAAGAATATGAAAAGGAAGGGGGAGGAGTAGGGCAATAGCTTTGGGGACGGAGGGGCACGTGCCCTGCTATTTTGCTATAGTTTGGGAGGAGCTGTGTGAAATGCCTGGGACTCAGTGGACACCGAGTGAACGCTGGAGGTGTGCTGTCTGCACCAGTGACCTGAAGCTACGTTATCCACCCTGTGGGCTCCCTCCCCATCAGTTTTCTGTACGTGTGTTTGGGGTAGAGGCCTTCGATGCCATGGGAAACCATCTTCTGCTGGTGGTACGGGAGGAGTGCACCGAAAGAGGATGTCTGCCATATTGTTCCTGAACGTGTGTTTCTCTGCTGTCACTTCCAGAGCCTCCTGAGATTCTGCTTTGGCACCTCCAGCATTTGGCCTCCGCTCAGGTAGGCTCTTCCACGACAAGTCAGGCCTCATTCCCTCTCCTTCCTGTGTCCTGGCCCCCAAACTGCCGCTCCGAAGCTCCTCAGTAGCTATTTCAAAGTCAGAGGCCATTGTCTGCCCATGTGCTGTGATGGCTTAAGTTCTGGAGTGTCTCCAGCCTCAGGCAAAATTGGGTCTGTTTGTCTCTCTAAAGGCGGACTCCTGCAGCCACCCACTGGCCGGAAAGGTGACGCAGGTTATGAAATCCCTGCTCCAGAGTGCAGGCTACAGGATGTGCGCTGGTCCAGTCCTAGCCTCAGTGGGCCTCCGTTCATAGCATTATCGTCCTCAAACCCAAAAGAGGGTCATTTCCTTGAAGGCAGAGAACTTTGATTCCTACGTCCCCAGACCAGAGTCATGCCTTGGGCATAGCCAGTGTTCCCCGGGAAGAATGCCCACGAAGAAGCTTGAAAAAAAATCTAAACTTCTGTATGAGGGTTTTTGTCAGCCTGGTAATAGAAACCATCCCGTTTTAATGCAGCTGGGTTGGATCTAAATTGTTTCACAGTCATAGAACTTGAGGGCTAGAAGCCCGTCTTCTACTCGGTACTAACATGTAGTAGACGCTCGGGAAATGATGTCTTCCTTCCCGTGTTCCCGGTTGAGTGAATGGCCCCCCTGCTACCACTCTCCACCCGACTCATCCTCGATCCCCTCTGATCTTTCCCTGAGCGCTGAGTTCTTAGACTCTGCTTCCAAAATGAGTCTCCTCCGTCACCTCCTCCCCCTCGCTGCCCAGATGCTGGCGGCCCTCAGCGTTAAGTCTTCATTTACCTAGAGACATTTTCAGTGTCTCCTTCCCTGTCTCCCAGCTCTAGGCTGATCTCCACTTTGCTGCCAGAGTGGTTTGTTGAGCTGTCATCTCTGACTGCTGTGCCCAGCTCAGGACTCCTCTTTGGCTTCTCAGTGCCAGCTTTCGTTTGTTCACTTCATAAAATGTGATCTGTGGATTTTGGGTCGATGATCTACTCAGCAGGCTCTGGGATCCAGAACTGAATAAAACAGGCATGGGCCTTACCGGGACTGAGCCTACCATTTATTCTAGTGGGGAACACAGATTATTTATCGCATAATCACACAGTTACATAACCACGGCTGTGATAAGGGCTGTGATGAAAAAGGACGTGGTGCTGCGAGAGCACCGGAGTGTGGGAGAGAGTGGTGGTCAGGAAGGTGACCTTTAGGCACAGGCAGAGCTAGCCAGCCCTGAGGAATATCAACTGACTTGCCAGGCCGGTGGGTATCCGCCCCGTGCCTCCCTGTCTGACCTCGTCTCCTGTGCCCTGCATGTGTGTTTGTCCCAGAAACACCAGCTCTCTCAGGTCTCTGCTGGAAGGCCTCTTTCCCACCAAAACCATGTTTAGCTCTTAGTTCAAACTCAGAAAAAGCAATTTCTCTGAGCTCCTTCCTGTGAACTCCAGATTGGAAACACCTTGGGACCCTCCTCGCTGTCCAGCGGAGGTGTGTGGGGGCAGTTGGTTGGGCCTGTTAAGAGTGAGGATACTGATATCAAAACAAGATGGGGAGCTGAGTGTGCAGCCCCTCCGTACTGGGCCCTCCTGGGAGGAAGGCCAGTTCTGGAAAGGTGTGCAAAGATGTGTGATTTTGATCACACTCACACCTTGCTCATATGTATTATTCCACGTAGCTTTTAGTCACTGTCCAGGGTGGCCAGTATCTCTGTTTTATAAAGAGGTGCCTGTTTGAGATGTTGGGTCATGTGTGGGGCTGCAGATCCTGTGGTACTGGTCCCACTGTGCTGTGATGTTGCCCCTTATATTTGCTGAATAAATGAATTTTGATCATTTTTAAAGTGTACCTTTATGGTGGATTTAAGAGAAAAGTTGACCATGTGGTATTTTGAAATGCCGAATCTTAGGTGCTGTCCCAGCTCCTCTCCGATGTCCCGCCCCCCTCTGTGTACACACACCTCTCAGGCCATCATATTGTCTTCATATTGCATAGCGAGGGGAACATGTTTGAATAATAGATCTAACTGAGCTTAATTAATATTCAGCCAGGTTGGTCCTTCCATACTAGAGATTATATTTTACATAACCTAAGTTTTACTGTATAATTTATCTAGGTAAAGTTCATTTTATTTATTATTTTTTTCAATTACAGTGGACATACAATATTGTATTAGTTTCAGCTCTCCAACATAGTGATCAGACGTTGTTACAAAGTGATCACCCCAGTAAGTCTGGTATCTACCTGACACCATACATAGTTATTACAGTATCATTGGCTATATTCCCCATGCTGGACTTCACACCCCTGTGAATAAAGTTCACTTTAGAGTTAGAACAATGTATTAAATAATTTGTGGGCAAATTATGTAGCAGAGCGTAATGTTTTCGTGGCTCTCTTTTTGAAATTGTTTAAACATTGTGTAGCCTTTTTTATTCATTTGTTTTTTACTTGGACCAAAGCAGAGTGGTTGAACTTTAAAGTAAAGTTTGACTTTCTGTTTTACCTCATTTTCTACAGGTCAGACAGTTCTCTCCTTACTGGCATAAAGCCTTATGAGTAAGTACGGCTGGAGAAGTGTGGAGTGAGAATATTCAGGCTGCTGTTTTAGGGCTTGATTCTCTCCTTTGCCCTCCTATTTTGTTAGTATTTGCTAATCTTGCAAAGGAAAATCCTTTTTTAGAAACAAATGGAGGAAATGTAATTTGCAAAGTCCATTAAAGTGGCAGTTTTGGAAAGGATGAAGTTTTTAAGTAGAAAACAGAACCTCCCCAAGTTTCCCATTCATTTTGAGCAGGTGAGATTTCATGATCATTGCCTAAATGGTGAGCCATTAGGTATTTTTCAGGATCATCCTTCTTAGCCCGGATGAACTTACCTCCCTTGTACCTCAAGTCATAACCTCTCCCCAACTGGTGTTCTTTGCAGAGTCAGCGAGTGGTCTGCTAGCCGCCTGTTTCCCCCACTTTTAGGAAAGGTATCTATGACTTCCGTGGGAGGGCAAGCCGTGGTCTGTGGGCTGCCCCTGTCCACGGGTCCTGCCTTTTGTATCCTCTGCAGTTCCTTTGACATAGCTCCCCTCGGCTAACTTGTATAAATATTTATTTATTTTTATACCTAGATAACTTCTTTGTAAGAGTCTAAAGGACTGTGTTGTGTCCTACAGAATTAGGGCTCAAATATTTTTTTCTGATGAAAATAGACTCAGTGTACCTGTTGCTTCCTCAGCCTGCAGGAATTGCATACCTTATTCCTTCCTCAAGAGAAGCAAGCTATTTCATTGAATGTCTTGTTTATTAAATGACAGAAATAGGGTTTAGACAATGTATTTTCAGGGAAATTGGTTTATCTCACAGATTTAAATGGAAAAGTAAATTGTGTACAGAAAGTAAAAAATTTAATAACCTCCACCTTTCCTAGGTTATAAAAGCAGTACACATTCACTGCCAAAAACTTAAAACGCATACTAGTAAAGAGAAAAAAAATATATAATCTTATCAATTTAGTAATTTGGTATTTTTAACATAAAAGCATGTACAAATTGTATGCTTTTTCAAAAAAATTGGGATCCGTTGCCATGAAATTTGGCATGTGAGGTTTTTTCCTTACTATTTTATTGTGAGGATTTCTGCACGAGATTAAATAGCCTCAAAAAATGGCAGCATCGTGTTAATGTTAGGTGTACTGTAATTTAACATTTTCTTATTGTAGACCTTTAGGTTATTTGTGATTATTTTGTAAATATAACTGAACATTGTTGAATGTAAATATTTGTCCTTGTCTTTATTTCATTAAGACATAAATCTCAAAGTAAGATTTTAAAATTAAGTGTATGCATCATTTTAAGGTTCCTCATACATGTATTGCCAAATTGCTTTTCAGAAAGGTAATTTGCAGTCCCACAGTGTGAGGGAGTCCGCAAATGATTCTGTCTTTCAGTCAGTCAGTGAAATGTTCGGTGTTTATGGATTGGTTTATTTTTTTCTGTTTCAACCATCTTTTTTGACCATATGTGTGTGTTTTTTAAGATAGTTTATTGATTTTTAGAGATAGAGAAAGGGAAAGGGCGGGGGGCATCAATGGGAACATGCACTATCAATTGGCTGCTTCCTGTATGCCCCCTACTGGGGATAGAGCCCACAACCCAGGCAGGTGCCCTTGACTGGGAATCAAACAGGCAACCTATTTGTTCATGGGACAACTTCTAGCCAACTGAGCCACACCAGCCGTGACTGACCATCTATAATAATAAAAGGGTAATATGCAAATCGACCAAACAGCAGAACATCAGTCCAGATGACCTTCTGACGACCTTCTGGACGAAGCCGGGCTGCGAGGGCCGAGCCCCTTGCACGAATTTTGTGCGTTGGGCCTCTAGTATCGTAATAACCATCTTTGTCACAGTATCAGTGGGGTGGGCGGGGGTCTTGGATCGGGGGGAATGGGTAGGCAGTTAAAATGGGTTCTGACAGTGTTAATAAAAGCTTTGGAAGAGAGTTTTAATTAAGTTTTTAAAGTCTCCATAACTTCCAACTTATTTTCCTGGCAGAGAAGTAGCTGTGGGTTGACTTTATTTATTTTGGAGTAATTTCTACACACCAGCTTTTGCTTAAGTCATTATTTATTATGTGAGCGCTTTCTACCTGGGCTGTCACCATAATTTTTAAAGTCTCACTTACCCTTTGGTGTAGACATAGTGACATGCTAAGCATTTTTCATCAATTAACGAGAGGCACTACCTTTTAGGAATTTGAACTTGTTACCTGTGCTACTGGCCCAGGTTTTATGGTGTGGTTGTTAATCCCTTTATCTCTACAAACACCCAGTACTACTCTCCATCAGTTAATAGATGTCTGGTTCCTGAATACATTGATTCCTTGACCTGAAGCTATCTTGGACTATAGCTTGTTTTACTTAGAGGAAACAAAGATGACTTAACTCAGTACTTCAAGGGATCGATCCACATTGGCAACCCCATCACTGCCTTGTAGGA